AAGCAGTTTTAAATGCTCTAAATTTTTGTATAGACAAATGAGTTGTAAAATTTTTTTTTTTTTTTTAACTGTAACACTCCATTCGTTTAGTGAACTGCAAGTGGACTTAGTTCCAGCAAAAAAATTAGAGAATGATTGAAGAACGACGTACAATTCCTAGATGAAAAGAGCGTTAGGTACCTCATATTGAATCTATGGTCAAACGAGCCCATGAACAGCAGCGGAAAAGGCTGTTGCTTCGGAAAATTTGTTGCCGTACTTTCTTTTTTCTTTCTCTTCAAGAAAACCAGCGAACTCTCAAATGTAACATGTCTCCAGTGCATCTGCGCATCTGGAGCTGGTGCTTCCCAGAAACCTGCTGATCCATCCAGGCATTCTGAGCCTTACAATGTGCCCAATTCTTCGTACAGATACAGATTAACAAAGATAAGCGCATCTTCCGTTCCACAATCATTCCCTGTAGTTTACGAAAACGCAATGACTGCAATTGATGAAAACGCCATTTCCATAACTTCCAGGTCTTTCTGCAACCATTGACATCACCACACAGAATTAATTGCCCACATGCTCACCACAAGCAGCCAGACGTACATGCACTACGCACGCATAGGTATGTACGAACCAATAATGAGTTACACAGACCACTCGCGCATCGGTGCGCATACACCAATACTCACATGCAAGTGCACACATACCAACATAAATCCAACCCACATGCACGCCTCCACGTGTGCGTGTGCACATACACACTACCTGTATGTAGATACAAGTGCATGCAAGCAGTAAGTGCATGCCTGCACTTATACTCTGGCATATTCCTGCAACGTACACACGAAGGTACTTGGTCTAATGCATGCATACGCACCCTTGATCGGACGTATACGGTGTACATATACAAACACACCCCCGCATACATAGACGCAACCAAATAACGCTACACAAGCACATGTACTGGCACCCACACAAGATTATAATTCAAACACAAAATATGTTTACATGCTTTAGTTGTATATCTTGTCTTGGAATTTTGAGTAAAACTCATTTTTGTCATCAAAGCGT